GGTTTTGGATTAGGACTTTTCGTATGACACTTTTACCTGCCCGCCAGACATAGTTTGCCGACTCTAATCATTTCGCTTTTAAAAACAATCCTTTAAAAGCGAAATGATGGTTCAGAAAAAAAAAATGTGATTAAACAGAGTGGTAAACGGAAAATTGGTATGGTTATTGTATTTTGAACAAAAGAAATGAAATAAGCGAAATATTGGTACTATAAAATATTTTATTTTCAGTGATTCAAAAAATATGTTCGAAATTAAATTAAATATATTCACAAAAGTATTATGATAGTAAAAAAATATGTCCTTATATGTATTAATAAAAATCGTGTCCGATTATATAATCCGTATAATTATATATGATTATCGTGGTCCGAAACATAAATTCACAATAGTTCATAATACCTAGTTACAATAGTTTCCCTATGGATTTTAAAAAATTCCATTGTAATTTCTTTATTAACGTAACTGGTAATAGTTGCATGAAGTTTGTATTGAAGTGAAGCATATTTTTTATTTTTTTTTCGAGGTGTTAAATTATTAGGTTGTTCATGCCGTATACTTTCAATTCGCATCGTAGATTCATCTTGTTGAATACATTGAAGAACTAAACAAAACGATGGGTTCCTTGTTCCTACAAGCTTATTAAAATAATTATTCCACCCTTCATAATAGTTATTTATTCGCTCACCACCATTCAACGTGACGTCGAATACATTCCACAAAATTGGAGAAAACTTTGAGATACTATTAATACCACTGACATAGATGTCATTAAACTATAGGAATTATTGTGTATAAATAAGTCATTTCACTGGATATTTCATTGAGAGGTAAAAACGCTAAAGCATTAATCATACTGCAATTTATTCTGATATTTTTGTCATTTTTGTAAACAGAACTTAGACCTAGGTGTTGAATTTTTCACCACATAGACTGGCATAAGCGAAAAAACATCCTTTAATCTGCACACTATCACCAAATACATGTTTAGTGGCACATATAGCTCCTATTTCGAAATCCATTACGATATATTTTGGTTTTGGATTGTTTGAAGTTTGAATACAATTAATAACAACTTGTTGTAAAATAGTGGATGCGTGCATTTTAACTTATTAGGTAAAAATACATACACTTAAGTAGACATTTTATTTTTATATTTTCTTCGTATAACTAAAGTTGTTGGAATATAGTAGTTGAGCACTTGAAAGTTCCATCCATAAACCAAGTTTCAGTGTAAGATAAAATATTAAAAGCGAAATTAGAGGCAAAAATCAAAATTCGTGAAATGACTATCAAAAATCAAAAATGGCTTAGGTTCAGCACCCAGTGTAATTGTCCACTCATCGGGAAGACAAAAATTTGCATTTAATGGTTCATCGGGGAATTTTCTGTCGGTAATTTCGTATGTTACGTTGTATGGAAAATAAATTTCCAAGTATCATCGCTGTATCCTCAGAAATGTTGTGCATGATGGATGAAACCATTTGACTAGGAATTTCTCGTATTTCCAAGGCTCTTTTTTTGTATTATGTTTGATAACAGTTATTTCGCAAATTTTACTATTTGAAGTGTGATTATGTGACACTATAATTGAATAGTTTATATACTGAAATAAAATTAATGGTTTCACCTTAAATTATACGTTACAATACATACAATAATATAAATTATTACCAATTTAAAACTTACGGGTTTAATTAAATTTGTTGTAATTGTTTCCGGAAATTTTAATGTCGTATTTTGTGAACATTTCCACCTAATAGTATTATTATTTTTTCTTAGAATAACATACGAATAATTATTGTACACCATAAGTTAATTTCCCTTTTCAGTTTTAGAACTTTCCATTACAATTTATAAGTATAATTTATAAATAACGTGGCAATACGTTGAATATTACAGTTGTACTAGGTCAAATAAAACTCATACAATATTTTAATTCATCGTTATCGACATTGCCATTTTTAATTGTAGATTAGATTCATACTTCCCTGCAAAGTCATGCAGTACTTATTTTATGTGTAATTGATTCATGATTATTTTTATAGTTTAAGAAACCCTGATGTTTAACGATCGCACCAATATTCCACGTTAGAAACGACCGTACTAATTTTCCGACAATCAGACAGAGTTAAGAATGATATTTTAGACACCGACGAGACAAAGCGATTGGAGGATACAATGGATCGGAATGTATGGAGAAGTTTGGTTGAAGCGTGCAAAAGGCCATAATGACCTGTATAACACTGAGAAAAAAAAATCATAATAATAACACTGTACAGCTATAGAGAATATATAACATAAATATGTGTGCTAGTGTAGGTCACGTTATAATCCACGATGAATGGTATTGAAATTGGCTTATTATTGCCGAAACTATATTTTTCCATACTTTTGAAAGCACCAGAATACAAATATTAAGTATAAAAAAATATATATATAAAATTAACTCAAATAGAAACTTTTTTTTTTTTAATAAATAACCCATAGTTTCGTAAAAAAAATTGAATACTCGTATTATGGACTCTGTGCACTATGCTTTAGAATCTAATTGAATTGAGGTTCGATTGCGAAGTAACAGTGTTCGTACGTTTATTCACGACGGGACACCACGTGCAAACGGCACGGAATCTGGAAACTTCGGTTTGTCGAACCGTTCGGTTCGTACGTAAACGTGACTATTCTTGCACGCGGTTCATCTCAACCCACGTTTTAACTTCGTGGGGGTGCTTGTGTGCAAAAGAACGAAAACGTTTTCCTTCGCACGAATCAAAGTGTTCAAATGACGATCCGTTGGCGTTTCCCGGACAGAAACGACACTGTTAAAATGTTGTCGACGGACCGGTTCGTTTCGATTCCCTTAGACGGAGTAGGTGATGGGTGGGAGGGGTGGCCAATAAAACAGTTTGGTGAGTGGCGGAGGTGAACCACGCGAATACAGGAGTTGACCGACGCCGTTTGTTTCGAATGAAAAAAATTTAAAACTTTGAATGTTCGTTTCGAATGCCGTCCAGGTGTTTCTCGTGTTGTTCAAACGGTCACGGAATCCCCGGTGCAGCCCATTCGCCCAACGTAACGGCGATTCGTGTTGTTCGACCGGCGATAACGTTCTACTGTGTGTTCGGTAACGCGTGATCTCGGGGCTATAGGGTGCGTGTAATGTCGATCGAGGAGGGGGTCAATTTTTACGCAGCAGTGGTTTAGATAAGTTCTTCCATAAGTTTAACATGTGAATGCCAAAGTTATATTTTAGATTTTGGTTCCAATAACCCTTAATCCATATATTGATTTAGTAATACTCTTGTATAATTTAAATACTTTGGATATTGTATTTTATAGTAGTATAAAATACATTATTTTACACATATTACTTATTAAAAAAATACGAGTAATAATTATAATAACGATGAATTTTTTTTTTTTTTAATAGAACAACATTATATATAATAAAACAAACCCCTTATTAATAAACATGAATATAATATGATACGAGTAAATAAAAATAATTAACAATACTTATTTAATTACTTTTTAATATTTTTAATTAGTTTTATTATTAAATTACAAAAGTGACAATTTTAACCTTTAAACCTTTCCGCTGCCAATATATATATCAAATATTCGATTATCTGAAATTTCAATGTTTCTATGAACAGATAATAATGCGAGTCCGACAAGTCTTGACTCTAAAGTTGAATTCACCATTAGTGATTCACAATCGATGCACAATATTATATGCATTAAATACCTACTACCACAGATAAATAGCTGTAAAAAGTTAATACTAACATTTTTTAAATTTTTCACTTTTTTAGCTATTTTCATAGATCATTAATATAATTTTCTTGACATATCGGGGGGGAGGGGCTGCAGCCCTTTCAGCCCCCCCCCCTTGGCTACGTCACTGCTGCACTGCAACAGAAGCTGATACGTCATTGCGAGTGGTAATCTACTTGAGCACTTGTATACGGGACGGGGTCACCTACATCGTATTGGGAAACGTTTCGTCAGCCTTCAATACATCGATGTCGATTATATTTGTATTAACGATAACCACCCGAATCATTTTACCTCTCTTTTATTCGACGAACGTTTGGAAACGTTAAAACACCACGCTCTCGTACTGTATCCGTAAAGTGTTCATGAAAACAATACGTACCGGGAGTGTACCGCAAGGATCTATTAATTAAGATATAATCGTGTTCTGGTTTTTTTATTCTCCATTTTCACGAAAAAATAGTACATTTTGTTTTTTTTAAACAAATAATTCTATGTGTAATAAAGAAACGAATCTATAACATAACGATGTAGATTGTTACGTGGTACCCAATAAAAACAGGTACCTATCGTAATGATGTTGTTGGATCAGGGTAAATTTGATTAAATAATTATTTTAAACACTTGTAAACACTTTAATAAATACAATTACAGAAACAGACATAGATACAAAAATATAAATTATAAATTTGCGCGCTAACAATATCGAAGACGAAACTCAGAAGGGCTTGGTCTGATAGCTGGACACGTCCGCCGTTGGTGGTGAAACGGAGCCTTTATATACTCTGTTGATTCTGTTTTAATTGTGTTGTTTTCGACACGTGGCTGTCCTTGGTCTTGATCTTCATATCCAAGTGATGTTTCATCACGTGGTTGCCCTTGGTCTTGATTGTCTTATTCGAATGATGATGTTGTTGTGGTTGTTTGAAATTCGCGCGTGGCGCCCATTAAGGTTTATGTGTGCAATAGTACGTTTTTCCTTATACGACTCAGGAATATGCGTATTATTATTTCTTAATAATATATGCATATTAAAAGATAGATATTTTTCATATTTTCTACTCGAACATTATATTTGTTTAAGAAAAAAAAATACAAATGTTAAGCGTATACAATAGTATTCAATTATATAACTATCGCATTCAACATTTTTTCTAATAAAGAAACAAAACAATAGACATTTTATCATAAAAAAAAAAAAATATTTTTTCTTTTCATTGCAGGGAAATGTGATGCAACAACTCCTATCATTCCACTTCCTTTTAGAGTTGATTACTACTGTACCTTTTGTTTTTACCGTGAGTAGTGCACATCATGTTATAAATATATTTTTTCTATTTTAATTATCATAACGACAAAATGAACAGCATTAAAATATATTTCTTTTTCGATTTTACAGATTTTCCAACCAACACTAATCAATCTATTCATACCGGTGTTTCTTAACTGCTGGTTAGCGAAGAAGTCGCTGGAAAACATGTTTGTCAGTTTATTATTAAATTAATTCATACGACCACTAGGTTGTCAACCGTTTTTTATGTTTTTTTATTTCATCTCGTCTGTTTTGCATACATTTCCAGAATGATCTGCACCGGGCCATGCAAAAGTCACAATCAGCGTTGTCACAGCAGTTGATGATACTATCCGCCACCCTGCTGTGTTTAGTGTTCACCAGGTTAGTATTGCGTACCCGACAAATGTTTGTTATTGGCAACGTAGTTATTTTAACGCGTCCGCCGTGCCGTTGTGTATTTGAAGCGTATGCGGCATACAGCATTTCCAAAGGGCCGGCCATCGTCATCTGAGTCTCTTCCAAGCCACGTATTACGTGGTGGTGACGTTCTCCACGGTCGGATATGGTGACTTCGTGCCGGACATTTGGCCGTCGCAGCTGTACATGGTCGTCATGATTTGCATAGCGCTCATTGTTCTTCCTACGCAGGTACACAACACGCGTTCCGTTCGCGATGGGTCGATTTCACCCGGCGGTGACGCGAAAATTCGAAAATTCTGAAATTGTCGAAAATGCGTTTTACCGTTTGTTTCGTTGACAGTTCGAGCAGCTGGCGTTCACTTGGATGGAAAGGCAGAAACTCGGCGGTTCTTATTCGTCGCACAGGGCGCACTCGGAAAAGCATGTGGTCGTCTGCAGTACAACTCTCCAGGCTGATACAATCATGGATTTTCTTAATGAATTTTACGCACATCCATTGCTCCAAGTTAGTGCTGCACCATTCAAATATTAATTGGCTCCATTTTAATCCAAAAATTCCCCTTATTGAACGCCCGAACTGGAGACAACGTATCGAATTCACTAAAATTCTAAAATTTTACACTTTGACGCCGGAATTTGTATCAGTTCTGGACTATAATAAATCGTATACTTGACTTTTCTAAACAATATATACGACGGTATACGAATAGGTGTATTTAAAAGCAGAATGAAAATAAATCTAAAACATCTACAGAATCTAAGGCGAGAAAAATTCTGTAGTTTATAAATAATATGATTTGAATAATATCACTATAAAATATTAGAATAATATCGTATTATTTTCACGTTATATTAAAATTCTTCTTAATATTTCTTGCTATTTTTAAAAAAATACATGCAAACGGTCCTCTTATTTACCACTTTCATATTGGCATGCTTGATTCTCTCTCTCTCTATCTCTTTTTCTGACACACACACACACACACACACACACACACACACACACACACACACA